CCTTTATTAATGGATCCAGTGTATTATTAACATGGACAGCTCCTTATACACTGGATAATGTTCCTATCACTGGATACTATATAGTCAATGGATTAGTGAACATTACTACTACTAACAAGAGTATTATATTATCAGCTACTAATCCTGATCCTTGTATATTAAATAATGTATCAGTTTCTCCTATTAATGACGTTGGAATAGGTTCATCTAATAGTATCAGTTTTTATTATGAAACAGGTTAGCATTATTATGGCTTCATGTATATGTTCATCATGTATATGTTTCAGCTCCTCTCATTACTCCTCCTGTATCAGTGGTACCTGTAATTGACGAACAACTAATATCATTGAATATCAGTATTAACGTAAGTATAAATTTTACTATAAACATCTCACATGACTGCTGTAGTTTACATAAAAGATTAAATTACATGTACTCTATGAACATCTCACATGACTATAATAGGAAATGCCTAAGCTGTAGTTTACATTACATGTACTCTATGATAATTTACTGCTTACTAAAGGCCTCCATACACTAGGCAACATGTTGCTAGCAACCAAGCAACATGTTGCCAAAAATAGAACATCTTTCTATTTCTAGCAACATGTTGCTTACAAGATCAAAGTAACCACAAATGTTGCTAGCAACATGTTGCCTAGTGTATGGAGGCCTTTAGTAAGCAGTAAATTATCATAGAGTACATGTAATGTAAACTACAGCTTAGGCATTTCCTATTATAGTCATGTGAGATGTTCATAGAGTACATGTAATTTAATCTTTTATGTAAACTACAGCAGTCATGTGAGATGTTTATAGTAAAATTTATACTTACGTTAATACTGATATTCAATGATATTAGTTGTTCGTCAATTACAGGTACCACTGATACAGGAGGAGTAATGAGAGGAGCTGAAACATATACATGATGAACATATACATGAAGCCATAATAATGCTAACCTGTTTCATAATAAAAACTGATACTATTAGATGAACCTATTCCAACGTCATTAATAGGAGAAACTGATACATTATTTAATATACAAGGATCAGGATTAGTAGCTGATAATATAATACTCTTGTTAGTAGTAGTAATGTTCACTAATCCATTGACTATATAGTATCCAGTGATAGGAACATTATCCAGTGTATAAGGAGCTGTCCATGTTAATAATACACTGGATCCATTAATAAAGGTATAATCCAGATCAACAACACTATCCAATAGACCTGAAGGAGATGATGATGTACAACACACACACACACATGCAAACCTTGTATTATTAATATCGATGTATTACTGAACACTGCCTGAAGAGGTTCATCAGTAACAGCTCTACACTTCACTTCAGTATTATTATTATGTTTATAAGCTATTGCTTGTAGCTCTGCCCTTTTAGTGCCAGCATCACTTGTAATTACACTAAATCCTTTAGCTATAACATATGTATCAGTAGCTGAATCATTATTGACCCTGAAACTGAGATCATCAGCCACAGCTTCACAAGAAAAGACAACAGTAGAGTTGAGTGTTGTATTAATAGACACTGGCTGTACTGTGATATCTATAAATAGTAATGAAGTTAGGATAGTATAGAAACTTACTAGCACAATCAATATACTGCTGCAAAAGAA